TAGTTTTGCTGTCTAGCCTGGTCAGGGATGAAAATCCACTTATCAGCAGATTTGGGAAATGCACTGAACCCCTATAGCTCATCCTGTGGGTGGTGGGTCCACAGAAAGGCGACACACGAGGGTCTTTCTGGTACTGCCGGGCCTGCCCAGATAAGCAGGAGGAGAGTAGAAGGGAGGATGGATGGATTTAACATGAGAGTAGCATCAGTTCTCCTCATTTAACTAAAAGGATAACCATATTTCCACATTTATCAAATAGTTCATTGAGCAAACAATGACTGTAAACTCCATTTTATAATTTTATAACTTGAGGTTAAAGCACCCAGTGAGCAGTAGAGATAGTTCTCTCTTTTCAGCTGATGTCTGGAACGAGTCACAGTGATTTATTGAGCTTTTATTTGTGCGTCCAGCTGGTGAGGTTCCAGGCAGTGCCGTGCTGGTGTTTGACATCGAGCTGGTTGACATGGAGGAAGGACTTCCCGAAGGCTACATGTTCATCTGGAACGACGAGGTGTCTCCAGACCTCTTCTCTGAGATGGACAAAAACAGCGACAAAGAGGTGGAGCCCTCTGAGGTATGTCATAAAGCTGCTCTTATCAAGATTTTCTCTTAACCATCACCATTAATTTACCATCCTCTTTTTGTTTGCACAGTTCACTGACTACATCATGCGGCAAGTGACCGAGGGTAAAGGTCGCCTGGCTCCCGGCTTTGATCCTTACCGCATCATTGACAACATGTTCTCCAACCAGGACCGCGACGGTGACGGAAAGATCACAGAGGCAGAGTTCAAACTTAAAGCCGATGAGGCTGCTGCTCACGACGAGCTATGACGTGCTTTATAGCGCGAGGGTATAAGGCAAAGGGTCAGATAGTTGGGGAAATGGGGACTAATAGTAAATTTGTGGGTGGTAGAGTAGCTGCAGATGGGTTTGTATGTTTAAAGTGTGGAGGGGGAAATGGGCTGACAGAGATTTTTGTGGACTTAGATGATAGAGTTAAAGGACGTCTCGTCCATGAAGTGCCAATTGAGTGTAAGAAGAAATAAAGAGTATGTAGGATTTAGAAAAAAATCATGTAATTTGAGGACTACGATGGAAATGAATGAATTTTTTAACCTCCTTTCTCATCAAAGGGTATAAAGGCACTCCTGTGTGAGAGAACAAACAAGTGCCTAGCTCCACTTTGTCTAGATTAAAAACTCTTTTGACTTTACAGACTTTTATTTTCTTATTTTCTACTCAGTTTGTCCAAACTGTCTTGACAGGAGCACCGAGTTATTTGTAATTAACTGTGATACACTGTGATGGAAGAAAGGTTCTTACTCAGAGCTGCCGCTGTTTTTAAAAGTGAAAAATAATAGGGTTTTATTTCCTTTATTTACATTCAACACCTACCACTGTTTCACTTTTAAATGTCAGCCCACCTTCTGTGTTTTCAGCCATTAAAATCATTCAGTCACCCTCCAGCTGTCAGGTCTGAAACCTCCATTCCTTCACTCGTTTTTGGTCTACTGTTTGTTCCTTCGCTTGTTTCGGTCTTGTCTGGATGTCTGGTGCAGTTTAGGAATTTGTGTGCAAGTGTGTGCGTGTGGGTGCAAGAGTGAGACAGAGCTATGCAAATAGAGTATTTTTTTTCTATTACTTTTACATTCAGGAGAACACTAAGGCTTGATGTCGCCTGTATCAGCTGAAAATTTCATTCGATTAAATGACCTGGCCTAAATATAATGCTCGCATTGTGTCTTCATTATCAGGTTGATGCCTACATGAGTGTGAGAACTGAGCTCCCTACAGCTTTAATAAATATAAACAAATATCTTTATTTACCCATGCGCATGGGGAGTTGTGCACAGCGCAAAGCATCCTGCAGATCTGAGGGGCGCTCCTTCAACCTGTTACATTTTTACTCTAAGTCACACAATACATTTAGGACACCTTTGACCTAACCCTGATCATTGAATGCATACACACTATCCCATTACCATTGATATATGCAGTTGTCTCCTATATCTTGCCTCCCCATTCCTCCTGCTATTCTCAGAAATGAAAAATGTGTTTGCCCTTTTTCTTTCCACCTCCTTGTTTCTTAAGGCCATGACAGTCACCCTGTAGTGGACACATACCTGGTGTCTCCTTTCACTACTTTATCTACCCCCACAGTTTCACATGATGCATAGTTTAACATGAATTTCCCCCTGCTCTTTTTCTGCTGCATTTCTGCAGACAGAGGCCTCTTTTTTTTTTTATCCTGTAAGCCCTATTTGTTATCCACAAGCCCTTGGCAAATCTCGGAAAATTATTTTTCCACAACATCACCTTTTGGCTGGATCTGTCAGGACATGCACTGCTCTAAATGTACCTTTTACCCAGTATATGTGAAGGAAAAGCTTTTTATTATAGTCAGAAGAAGATTAGGTGGTCTAATGCCATACTCATCATTAAACATGATTAGAGAGGAAAAGTTGATTAGCACTTGTTGTCAGGGGTTTGCAGAGATTAAGTGTTAGGACAATTCTCTTACCAAGTGAGAGGACACCGCAAGAGTGAGGTTAAAGATCTATATGGCAAACATAGTCCAAACAGACTCGAGATATCTTAGTCACAGTGGAAAAACAAATATCACCCCTGAACCATTTAAACTGCTGTGAGCAGCCTGAGTAGCACTTTCATTTCCTCTGCAGATGCAGGGGAAATGCATCTAGGCTGATTTAAGAAATCACTGGACCATTCAACCCTGTCAGCTTTTATCTTTTTAAGAAGTTAACATTACTGCCATTGAAATAAAAGTTGTTCAGACTGTAATCAGGACAGGCAGCCTACTTTATGTTATGGGAAATTAGGAAAACACACAACCTATTAGTCGATAAACTCAGTGAAAATCTTCGGTATTACACAACGATATGCCGGATAACTGCTTAGTGCTCTGTGCATCCGCTCCTGAAAGTGAGAGAGTCTAGGTCTTGGCCAGGACTCTCTTGTACCATGCCTACACATACTGTATGCAAGGTTAGATACATTTGCATGTTTAAAGCTCTGAAATTCAGGTGCAAGTATCTCGTTACAATACGCAAAATCTGTTTGTCTGCAAAATCATCCTACATGATCTGGAACTTAGCAACCAAATTTGGTGCACAGGTACATCTTAGGCCCTTGAAGATTCTTATCATCACATTGCCAAGTAATCAACTACCAAATAAACTAAAATGATCCATTTTTAGCAGTTATGCACTTGTGAAATCTTATACAAGCATCATATTTTTAATTCTGTGACATTAACATTTAATTTATATTCACAAAGTATCTGTTGTAAAGACCCACCTTTTAGCACATCCCAGCACACCCACTCACTTCACCAGATGCACCTTGTTTAGTTCTCTCACCTTTGATTGGGTGTGGTACTTGTCCTTAATTGCACTCACCTGTCACACATTATATAAGGACTGCATTTACTTTTGGCTCACTCTTTCTTCACTCCCACACGGGGCGGCAGCAGAGGTGAGGTTCTGTTTAGGTTTTGTATTTTATGTATTGTTTAAGGTAATAAGTAACTTAAATCTCTGTTTTCTTTCAGCATTGGCAGTCCATGTGTGTCTTTCCTTCCTTCCTTCTTTTGCTTTATTGATTCGAGAATTATTGATTTGAGAATAAAATGAGAACCCCGTGAATGATTAGATGACTGCTTATTCTTATTCTAATCGGATGAGCCCATGATGCTGATTACTCAACCCTGAGCCTCCCCTTCCTTCATAACAGTATCCATATATAATGATACATATACATTATGGCCTAACAACCCACTAAGATGACCTTTATATGGGGTTAATAAAGTAGACATTGGCGTGGGCGTACACTTGTGCGGTATAAATCAAGAGACCTAACAGGTAGGTTTTAGACATAACTCGTCATTAAAAGCTTTTCCTGTGACGCTAGTGTTTCTAAGACACTGATTATTGTCACACATCATATTCTACCAATTTTGTGAGTTTTCCCCCCCACATAGTACAAAAACCATTAAGAGCTGTTTAGCAGTGGAGTCTGACCCAGCTACACTTGGAGAGGTAGGGCAGAGCGATTCAGGCACCTGTTGTATAACAACCTGATAAATTGCTTCCAGTTCCCGCCCAGGGCAAACATTTAAACTTGACATTAAACATTAAGATAAAAGCATAAGTAAGAAACATAAGGCAATCATTTGAGAACATCTGTAAAACTGTGACACTGGTTCACCTTAAAGCCCTTTTTAACTCCTAGATTCAAACCAAGGCGTGCCTTCAAAGTGTTTTGCGTCACCAAACCTAGCACTTGTGCAGGCCCTGGAACTAACAGGTGAAACGAAAGTGCGTTCACTTTAACTGAACTTGAAATAAATGCAGAATGAAAGGTGCTGCAAAAAAATAATAAGAGCAACTGAGCCATGCTCTCTGACCCAAGAGTTTGATACAGAAACAGCATTTCAGAGGAAAACAAATCAGTTCAGGCCATCATATGTTATTCTGTCCTTAGACACTGAGTAATGCACCAACAGCCTGCTGTTTGCAGAGCGTTGAACTGTAGGATTTCTGCATATTTTCTGCTTGGACACTTTTGACGTGTGTTGCTTATATAGATGAACATATATCAACCTCAAT